ACTTAAAAAATTAACACATCCCTGCAAACCTCTAAACTCTGTTAATACAGAATTATACTCTACAACAGTGGCCACGTTTTCCACTTACATTCATACCGTAAACCTGTCAATGCTATCTTCTTTAATTTCGCACACATAATAAAAGGTAGTTTTCCTAAATTCTATGAAACAGATCTGCTCAAATAAGTAAAATCATGAAGAACTTAGCAAAGCCTTGGAGCATATTGCATACCAGGTGTTGTTTTGCAACATTTGCTGATATTCTGCGTCATCCAGTCGCAAACATTTTTTAATGAGACCTTTGCCAGAAACGATATAACATCCAAATGGAAGGAATTTAAAGTAGTTTCGAGACCTAAGTCTTCTGGAGGAAAAATGAAATTCCAACTAGTCACAATAACCTCACCATCACTAAAAAAAATAGAAAAACTGCTGATTCGTGTGCTTAAACATCAGCTGCAGGCTTTCACTGATACAAATCAATTTGTCTACAAACCCACAAAGAGCACTTCAGAGGATGCAATAGCTTCACAACAAAATATTGTTGTCAGTCTACACAAAAGTGTGTAGTAGGTTAGATATGCCTCTCTACACTATACCTCTCTCTCTCTCTCTCTGACTTTCATTCCGTTCAGAAACTCCTTTCATTTAACAAGCTTGTCAGCAATCACATTCAGTCATGGAATGCAAAACGGCTTCATTCTTATTTTTTGAGAGAATGCAGTACACTCTATACAGAGGGAAGCTGTCCACTTGACTAATGAGTGAAGTCGGTGTGTCTCGAGATGTTCTTCCTCCTCCTTCACTCTCCTCTCTCATTTCGCATCACATAGCCACTTCAACTGAAGACAATTTTGTTGAGTACACACACACATGACTTGACAGTATCCACACCGATCATCTCCTCTTCAGATTGTTCTCAGTTGAATCACTTGTCAACGGAAGTTGGTCATTCGTCTTCCCTGAATCGCCTCACACTCAGTTCATCCAAATGTCAGATGGTGCATTTCAGTATAGGATGTGAACGATACCTATGTGAACTGCTTCACTTCCATGACTCTCGTCTCATTGATGGGTCTGTTACAGGGAATGTATCCAGTGTCATCCATATTGGTGTATGCTTTCCTCCCTTCCTCTCTTCACATTCTACTAATCTCCAAGCAAATCCTCTCACTCAACTTTTCTGTGAGGAAGCTCAGACAGTCTGGTATGAGTCAGAGTCTACCCTCACGTTTCAATAATTCCTGTATTTTGCATATACTCACTGATCATCCCCCCTCGTTCTCTGTCACGTGGACTGTGTGAAAGGGATCACTCTGTATTGTGTAGGATTTTCAAGGGTGTTAGTACAGTGAATGATACATATCACCAACTGTGGTGATGAATGCAGCATCTCAACTCTTGTAGACAGTTGGCTGAAAGTATTTTATCCGATGATAAGCATCCTCTACATCCACACCTGTCCTCTGATCAGACAACAAGTAAATACATGCAACTCTATACGCACACACTTACATACAAAAGTGCATTGACAACACTTTGTTCAACTTGTGTATTGTGTGAATCAAATCATGTTGGGTGTAGTGTTGTCAATCAACTTTGCAATGGTGAACAGTTATCATGTCCGTGAAGTCATTAAACATTTCAACAATTATGATTTTCTATGTTATGTATTGTTAGACATGAGGATTGTTCATGTATGATTGAGAGATGTTGTTTAACGATGAGACTGATGCAATATGATGAGATGCTGAGAAATGTGTACTGTAAACATAATTATAATTTGGTACAAACGAAACATATTACTATTGCTGTTACTATTATTATTGTTTTCATTGATTTCAGTATTTAGATTGTGCTATAATTTTGGAGAATGAAACACCTGAAAGCTTAAGTATTTAAATTGACTAGCCAGTTTGCAGTCTGACGTAATACTACAGTTCACTATCATTTAATGATAACGTTTAGCAGTATACGTGGTGCAACAAGAGATAATGACTGGACTGGCCTAATTGACGTCTACGGGAATTCAAATTTCGAATGGCCGCTTGAAAGGAAGTATGTTAACTTTTCCGAAACATTGTTAGTCTGGGCTTCTTCCTTTCGGTTGATTAGATCCTCAGGTGACAGAGGATGGTAGATGTTCGAATCTGGGTAGCATCAGAAATCAGACTGCTAACGCATACAGGTGGTCAGTTTGGGAACCTGAAGATTGAGACGTCAAATTCTACTGATACACATATCTCTCATTCAAAGCAGTTATTTGTATTGACACATCGTGGCTAACAGTATAATATTGGGTACGCGTTCCGTCCCTTTTGATACTCGTCAGCTAGATGCACTGTATGAACAACCCAGAGTCCGAATATTCGAGGCTTTAACCTGCATAATTTTTCTGTTTACCCACGAATGTTATGATCAACGCTTTATTAAGATGTTTAATTAACTGAAAATAGGACTTTGAAGTAAATGGCTTGGGAGTACACTTTCCAGTCTTTGAGGAATTGTTTATCCTTACTTACAGTATAATGTAGTACAATACAGTTTCTACTGATGTAACTTTACTGATCAATAATATGTTCGAAATTCACTCCTGAAGGTTTGTTATTACTTTGGTGTCTGAGACATCAAAGCAGTACTGCTGATGTTGAAGTGAAGTCTTTGTCTTTGGGTGTTATTTGTGAAGAATGTTGTATTGATTCCAACATATATTGTACAGATGCTTATCTAAGTGGGAGTGGGAGGTGAGGAACGAAAATGCTTGGCCTATAGCAGAACTCGAACCCAGTGGCTGCCTGTTGGTATCTTGGCAGAATCCAGCATTTCATGATAAATACTAACCTGAAATCGGTAAAGAAATCCACACAAGCCTCCAGATAGAATTAAACTAGTGTTCATTGGTTACTAGCTTTGAGAAGTGGTTCTCGAAGTTCTAATCAGAATTCGTGATCGATGTCGAAGTCGAACATGAGGACAGTTACTCAATTGTGGCATTGGATGCATGTCGCACTATATCGTGATATGAGAGAAGTAGGAAATATGGATTATTGGATCCCGACTCGCTACCTGAATCGTAACGTGCTGGCCGCGGAAACTGATGGCCCTGAGTTCGACCCCTGGGGTTAGGGTCATGAGTGTGTACTTCTGGGGAGTCCCGTACAAGGAAGAAACAGCTGTCTAGTGCTCCCAGATTTCCAGCGTTCATTCGACTGATGTCAATCCATGATGAATATCAACCTGAAATCAATAAAATCAATCCCCACAAACCTCCAAATTCAGCATTTTCATCGGCTTAGCTTCCCTAACGTGGACACGCTTATGTCAACCAAGATAATTTTATACATTGTAATCAAGACCGCTACTTGTCTGTTCCAAAGTGAATATTATGCATAAATGCGTCTCTGTCTAGGCTTGTATATGTTATATTACTGTCGGCACTGTTCTACAAAACAAATGAGGTGAATTGTAAAAACTCCCTTTGAGATTTTCTTCGTAAGCATTTCAACTGACAGTCAACAAATGTTCCTATATTCTTTCAGTGTATGATATCCCTAGACTAGATATCAGCCTTTTTAGCACAAAGCTGTGTTTTTCTTGCTTGAAAACTACATAGTCTGCTGCAAATTCACACAGTTGACTTGAGTAAATAGTATGGAAAACGTTTGTTTATTACATAGATAACCACAATGACGGATGTTTAGCTATATTATTATTATTATTATTTTTATTATTATTATTATTATTATTATTATTATTATTATTATTAGTCCCTTGGGTTCCTAGTGGAACATAGGGCTTCAGTAGCACGTCTCCAGTTAACTCTGTTCTCTGAGATCTTTTGAACCTGGCTCTACGACAGCCCACAACCTCTCATTTCTTCCTCGCACGATCTCCTCCATGTCACCCTCATCTCGGACACCCAACTCGTCGCTTCCCATGGGGATTCCACTCGAGTACCTGGCCTGACGCGTGATGTCCGCAGTCTGTCTTCTCAGTGCATGCCCAATCCATCTCCACTTCCTCCTGCATATTTGTTGCGTGATAGGTTCTTGCATTGTTGATTCGTTCCCAGAGCTCCTTGTTGCTTATTCTTTCTGGCAATCCATCTGATCTTCAGTAGCGAGCCAGCGTAAGCAGTTGTTGATGAATGTCTGTAGTTTATTGGAAATCCCTTTCGTGACGCGCCAAGTCTCTCAACCATCACACAGAAGCACTGACTTGACGTTGGTGTTGAAAATCCGTATCTTGTTCCACATGCTGAGTGCAGAAGATCTCCACACTGGTTTCAGGCTAATGAACGCCTGTCTTGCTTTTCCGATTCTGACTTTGACATCCTCGTCTGTGCCTGTGCCTCCTGTAGTTGAAACAGTGCTTCCTAGATCAGTGAATGAGGTTACTTCCTTTAAGTTTCTCCCGTTGATGGTGACTGGAGTTTGCTGTTGTTGTTGATGGTGGTGGTGCGGTATCTTCATCACTTCTGTCTTCTCCATATTCACTTGAAGTCCCGTCTTCGCTGCCTCTTCTATCAACTTGTTAGTTTTCGCCTGTAGATCTTCAAGTTTGTGTGACATCAGGCACAAGTCATCGGCGAAATCCAAGTCTTCTAGGTTCTGGTTAGCTATATATACGACTGTAATTCCTCTGAGTTGCCTAAGTATATTTGATTTTGATAGTAGGACACTGTACTCAACCGCCAGATTTCGTGTTTACTGACACTCATCAATATGGAGATCACTGAAATCTTAATCAGACAAACATTCTTTTGAAAAGTCCAGTCTCTATCACTCAATCATGAGTTCAGTGGCTTTAATGTACTACTGCCTGCCTGTAAGGTTGGGCTATGTACGTGAATTGATTATTCAACAGTAATGGAAGTAATAAGTGACCATTTTTGTATATTGATTACTAACCAGTAATTTTTTGGTCAACTTTGTAGTGTTACCCAGTACATTGGATTTCGGTGTTTAACACTAAAATTTCTGTATGAGGTAAATACATTTCAGTCTAATTATGTATTGCATGCATTATGAGTTTGTTTACAGATACTGAAGGTTGTGAATTTTCTGTGGTAGGAATTTCCTATTCTAAATCGCTAATGAGTATCAGTACAGAAGTGAAACGTTGTTCAGTATTCCCTAGGGTTCTTCGATAGTCATGTTAATTCGTGAATGAAGTTCTTCAGAAAAATGGGAAGAAAAATAACAGAAAACAGTTGTTTTTCATGCCGATGTATTAGCGAAGCGAAAAACACCCAAATTCATGTAGTACTCATAACATTACAATTAATTTGTTTTCTTAACAACAGGTGAAAATTGTTAGGCATAAGATGTGTATCGTCAATGGAATTTTATGTTTGAATATGTATCAGTTTTGAACATGTGGCGCTTAAATAGGATTGTTTAAAATTAATGAGCAAGAGTAGACAAACACGTTGTCCACTTAAAAGTATATATATATGGTTACATATTTATTTGTCAGTGTTTGTATGTATGCAATAATAATCAATACAGCATAATCTATTGATTTCTTCAGATACGAAGAATATAAATACCAACAACAAGTAGTAACACGCTTGTAGAGTAGAGACAGAAGTATGAATGAATAAAACGGAGAAATACTTGTAATATATATGCTTTTGTGCATGTGTGTGCGTGTGTTGATATTTGCTATTAGAAGAGAGACAACGAACAGAATAGGTATCTCATCATTGATGTCATCAATAGTAAGACTGAGAATGGACGCATATTGAACAGGCAGCACTCGTCAGCAAAAAAACCATTCACCTTGACTGCTATATGTACGCTTTTTGAATTGGACAGCAGGTATCTAGGACAGGAAACAATAGCATGCAGGAAGACAAGCAAGACGAATCCTATCACAATGGTAACAACTGAGTAAAGATGTCGGAGGCAGAAAAATGATCCATGACACAGGGATGAGAAGAAAGGGGTGGAGAGAGACGGTAAGGCCAGAGATTTTGTTGTCTAACGTATTCCTCTTTGAATTTTTCTACCAAATCTCAACCGTTCAGAAAATGATTGCGTAACAAATAGATAGAGTTTAGTTACAGCATGTGCAATCTCTACATCACCTTTTGATATTGTCACGTGAACAGAGATAAGAATGTTCATTGGTGCAGGCAGTTTACGCAGTAGACGAACTTCAACACTACCAACTTGTGAACGACTTGGTTGCAGCTAGAAAAAATTTTTTTTCAGGAAAGAAAAACGAAAGAAAATCAATACTAAGGAGAGTTCATAAATGAGCAGTAAATTAATGTTATGGATTTTATGACCATTGACTTCGTAGCATAGCTTTCATGTAATAGAACCATCATGTAAGTCGATTGATGAGGTTATGTGTCCTAATTGAGTTAGGCGGTTAGGAGATGTGTCACACCCACTCATTCACCACATAATACAGCTGCAGACTGAGTACCAGAATAAGACATGGCATCACTAGTTGTCTCTATGACCTGTATGAGGAGATATTGGTTTTCTGGTCGGCATCCATGAGATATTCAAAATCAATGGTTGAAAATTCTAGGTGATACGTTTCATAACCTACCGAGGCAACACAGATAGGTTCATGCCTTATCTTCGTCGGAATAGAAATTTTGGGCATCTTTTTTTTATTTTCAAGTATCCATTATGAGTCACAATTAGAGCTCAGTAATGATGAATACTCTGAGATCATTCGGTTCACTACACACCTGGCTACTCATCAGTTCAGTGGTCTTTAGTTATTGATTTTGAGTTAGATTTTTCGAGTTCTCAAAGGAATTTATGATCTGTGTGATTGGTCAATTCAACTATGAAAACAGTTAATCAACAATGACCTCAGAGGATGATCACTTCACTTTAGAAATCGATAGAAGCTAGATTTTGACTCAGTGGTATCATCTTTGCTAGGAAGCTTGATGATCGTGGGTTCGACACCTTATAAAGTTTCGCTTGTGCAAATAATGAGGAATATTAAACTAGGATAGGACAGCTCTCCAATGCTTTCAGGTTTGATGAATGTGTCGAAACTAGTCAGTCGCCTCATAAGTCTCCCAATCAAGTTTCTGTCTTATGTCTTCGTATGACAGTAGATATATTCTATTTCAGGTGAGCTGGCTTGAACCGTTAACTGTTTATGTCAAATAGTGTCTCTATGTAATTATTGCACATTGGGATGTTCTCTTAAATTTATCTTAGAAGAAATTCACTTGTCCTCTCACTACAAACTTGCATTTGAGTACTACTTTCACCGTTATACTTAGCATGTAACAAAGTATTTACCCTTTCCTAACTTCTCTGAGTACACCCAGCTAGTAAGTCAGAAATCATGGCCATAGTGATATTAAGTTCTCTGAATGCAATTGGTTAGCTATGGAGTTACCAGGAGGATCTTTTAGAGTTGCTTGTTTTGAAGAGACGAACCAAGCCTTAGCAACTGCTTGAAAGGTGATGGTTCAGTAAAATCACTGCTCACTATTAGGAGGAGCATTCAATCAGTTGATGCGATGCTTTTTTATCGTCTTTAGTCAATCGCTAATCAGCTTTATAACTTATTTCTTTCTTCATATTCACAGCTTTCACCTAATCAGACTCAGAAAGGATCAAGTAAACACTTTGTATTCTCCTTGACCCATCATCGATTTCGGCTGCTGTAATACATTATTTGCCTGAAGCTGTTGGTGTTGAGTACTTACAATTTATTTAAAAAAGTAAAAGTAACCATGTTTTACCAGTGACTTAGTTTTGGCTAGCAATAGAATCCGCAACTGCACTTCGTCCTACTTAAGACTCGACAACTGGATTCACCTGCACCCCAGTTGGTGATGTTTTTCCCACTGATAATCAAAACCAGCATCTATCCAGGATAACAACGAGGAGTTACAAGTATCAACAAACTATAGTAGCCATACCTTGTGAAAAGGTGAAAGGGACAGGCAAAATGACAAATACTAATCGCTAATAATAGTAGAAATTACTTTTTGACCTTGGTCATGTGATTCAAACATTAGCTGAAAATGTAATCCTCACATTATCACATGACCATAGTTTTCTTCCTGCCAACTTTCTTGAAGAATATTACCTGTATTTGACTGTGATTTGCAACACCTACGAATTACACATTGGAATACTGGTGGTTGTTCTTTTTCACGTCGGTTGATTCCTATTTCATACAGATCATGCGTTAGTGTGTCCAACTACCGAGGTGATAAAACACACACACACACACACACACAGTGAACTGCTAATAATTGACAGGTAAAACCATTTAGACTAGGAAGTTAATAAAATACTTTAGGGTTGAATTTTCGCTAGCTGGTGATGAAAAACACAGAACAAAATTAAGTAATTCAGTGAGATGTATCTGAAGATGACTATAAACTCTTTACGATGAGATGAATTTCGAAGATGGATGTCTAATAAATGAGACGTAAACCCTCAGAATACATTTGTGTGTTATTTGTTTATTCTTGCATGAAATGTTACTTTTGAGGCTTCAAAACAGAAAACCCTAGAGAATCAGACAGTCTTTAGACCTGATTATGTGTGTATCGAACAATTATTCACACTCCTTCAGGTTCTGGAACACTGGGACAGTTACCAGCATTCGGCACTGGCTGTATTTTTCTACCTGAAGTTGGGTTTAACTCGGTCTATCCAATGATCTTATGGCGGAGACTTACACTCTAAGAGGTGGCGCCTTTGAAGGCTGTACACTTGCGCGTATGTTAGAGCCTGTGACAAGTCATCAGGTAAGTTGCATACGTCGAGTGGTATCCTTCAAGGATGTCCGCTCTCCCTACTCCTATTCAACTTTACCATAGATATTGGTATGGAGGTCTTCTTGTCGTCATCTGAATTTACAGAGATTCATCTTAATGTAGAAGCATTCTCGGTAAGTCGAGAGTACGTAAGTGACATGGTTCTGTTGGGTGAAGATAGACACTGACAAGATGTAGTCTTCTAGAACCCTTGAGTAGGAATTTGAGAATGTTTGGGACGCATTTCTTGCTACCGAAGTGTTGATTGTTGCTTAAGGACTGGTCTTCGCTGGTCCTGTGTCTGACAATAGGAAGTGAAGTGGATGAACGTGCTGACCGCTTAACTGGGAAGTTAAATAAACCATAGTGGGTTACTGACTGACGAAATCTCTACGCCTTCCTCAAAATATGCCACTTACAATGCCCCTGTCATATCCGATTGTTAATTGAGGGTTGAATACACTGCATAGCAGTTCGCACTGTTGCATTGTGCTGTTGTGAAACATGTCGATTAAAGGTGGAGGACATGAGAAGGCTTTTGGTGTTTGATCACCGTCACCTTCGCAGCACAGGCTGTGTGTCGTCGCGTCACTATATCAGTAACGCAGAAGTCAGGTGTAGGATTTAAGATAGAAAAGTCAGTTGATGCGGTTGTGAACCATCATCGACTCAGACGGTTGGAACATATGCTACACATCCCTAGTCATTGTCTGCCTTGTCATGCAGTGCCAGCTGAGGTGGGTGTTGGCTGGAAAGGGTTAGAGGTAACCGAACTACAATCCGGAATAAATCTATAAAGTCTTTGACCAGTGATCTATGCCATGTGAAGAAAAGTAGATTTCCCGGTTGGGATCCACAACAGAAAGCAGTGGTTGGAGATTAGATGTATCCATACAACACTTGGAGGTAGTTCTATGTAACCTGAATATTCTTTAACAAGGATGAGTGTCTCATGAGATGATTTCCTAAGATAATCCCGTAGAAATAGAGAGTTTTCAAATCAAACTGGCTATTTCTATTCCTGCCATCCACCACAGTCAAAAAGTTGATATTGAAAATATTCAAATTATTAGAAAAAGTTTTTCAAACTACAAGGAAAGATGCACAACTGAGACATTTCACATTCGTAGATGTTAGTTAGTTAGAGGCAGTCAGCAGGAAGCCCTGGACCAGGGTTTTTTGCTTGTTGGCACTCGTCACCAAGGCGTATCTGCAAATTCAACGAAAGTGATTTCCGACCTGAGGTCCGAACCCGCGTCACCCATTGTTGCAGTCAACGACTTTACCACTGACCTGTTCGGGCCCTGATTGACTTTCTGTAGGACTGGGTTACATGTATTGATTGGTCACGGGAGTGCAACCTAACTTCATGTTCTCCAGTCCTGAGTGCATTTCACATTCTGTTGAAGCCTACTGCACTCAACTGAAATGAGGGCCTAACTATCCAATCAACTTGAAACGACAGTATATCCGAAATAACACGTTGCACACAGTGAACACAAATCAAGTACACACTCATACACGCAAACAAACTGATTTCTTCATCTATAGTATTCTTCACACTTCTTCTTGAACTCACTCACGAACTAATAACTGATAAGGACGCCACTTATTCCCAAATTTTTTAGCCTTATACATAAACAACATGATCTGATTTGTCATCATTTCCTATTTAGACATGCGATAACTTGTATAGGTTTTATTCTCTGAAGAAGCGATTTCAACGAAGCTGCGGAACATCAGAAATCTACCTCTGCATCTACCTTATTGGGATATTACAAATGTATTTCATTTATAAAATTGTGTTTATTGATAAACACAACTGAACTACGATTCTAATGAGGTTATCCATCCTCAAAGTCACTTGTACCAGTATATTAGACAGTGCAAGAAAGCTTTCACGTTCATTGTTCAGTCTATAGCCATTTGTACCAGACATCCTATTTACAGGCAAAAACTAACAAGTTGATAGAAGAGGCAGCGAAGACGGGACTTCAAGTGAATATGGAGAAGACAGAAGTGATGAAGATACCGCACCACCACCATCAACAACAACAGCAAACTCCAGTCACCATCAACGGGAGAAACTTAAAGGAAGTAACCTCATTCACTGATCTAGGAAGCACTGTTTCAACTACAGGAGGCACAGGCACAGACGAGGATGTCAAAGTCAGAATCGGAAAAGCAAGACAGGCGTTCATTAGCCTGAAACCAGTGTGGAGATCTTCTGCACTCAGCATGTGGAACAAGATACGGATTTTCAACACCAACGTCAAGTCAGTGCTTCTGTGTGATGGTTGAGAGACTTGGCGCGTCACGAAAGGGATTTCCAATAAACTACAGACATTCATCAACAACTGCTTACGCTGGCTCGCTACTGAAGATCAGATGGATTGCCAGAAAGAATAAGCAACAAGGAGCTCTGGGAACGAATCA